TTTGGTAATTCCGCATTTTTCCTAGAACAGGGAAAACCGTACTGCGAAACTGGTATGCTCTAAAAACATGCTGCTTGGTTTTATATAAATAGTGCATGTTAATTTAGCTGCGAAGTGCAAGCCGGGGATCGCTCCACCTATCCGCGCTTCTCTGTCGAAAGCGCCAGACTGCAGAAGTGAATGGACTTATGAATTTCTGAGATCTTTCGTGTGCTGTTTGATTACTGAAACAATTTTTTGCAACAGATCTGTAATCTGCGCACCAAACTGGAGATAGAGGATATTCCCGGGGAAAGATCTGACTAAGACGAGGCTTTGTCGGAGATGTTACAGAAGGATTCGTGGAAAATTTAGGCGCTTAATTGTGCTATTACAGACTGGAACGCACTATTCACGACTAAGTGCGTGTCATGCCACTATCCGATTGAGGCTGGCGACAGATGGGTGGAAGCGCTTGGGGCCGCGTTCCATTCCAATTGCTTCAACTGCACGGTACTGTTTGTCGGATCTTGATGCAAAAATATCAACATAAAATGATTAGGAAACAACATCGACCAGCATATCCCTCCCGACACATTTCACATGCAACAAATGCAGCACCTAAACTTAACAAGGCTTTCACTGCTGGCTTTTTATGCAGATATTTTCCTTCAGAGCTGCAACGTGAACCTCGAAGGCGAAAGCTTCTATGCACGGAATGGTGCTCCGTATTGCAAATTACACGCTTGATTCGCAAAACACCAGCAAATCTGCTGCTTTTGCTGCTGGTCCTAGAAACGAGCCGTACGAGTGACAGTAGCGTCAATTACTGTAATGCTAAATCGTTGCTTTTGTTAACTGCAGTTCGCGCGTATAACATTTGTTTGCATTGTTACGACACCAGTGAATATATATATTTTTTCATATAGGCGAGCCTTTTCATGTAACTGAGAGCACGCCAATATTTAAATAAATTATGCGCCGTTGCGCAGCGTGTGCACGATGCGTTCAACTGGAGACGCAGCCCATCTCAAAAACATTTATGTCCTGAAGCATCCTCGTCAAAATGCATCTTTGCAAAGATGACTGCACATTCGCACAATTTCAACACTTTATGATGTATTCCAAAGCATTCCGAAGCATTATTTTCCGAAACAGCTGAAAGGGTGCCGGTCGCACCCTGGATGATATCTTTTTTAAGAACCATCCACAGCGCATCACTTTACATCACGAACAAATCGTAGGAGACTGGTTCACTACAACAACACTTTTTCAAGCCACATCTATAAATGATGCCGACATTCACTGACTATTCGGTTGAAACGACCAATGTAAATAAGCATAATCCCGCGAAATATACCACCAAAAAGCACCTGAACTCAAACAAAGAGTTTGGAAAAAGTTGATCATGTGAAACTGTAAAAGCTAAAAATAATGAACAAGAAAAATATGTTTCTGTTCGCAGACAATAGTGTTTTGCTGAAAAATTTT